AACATGATTAGCATCGCCTCAAAAGGGTATTACGAAATAAACAGTCCATCGTCATACTATCTCATCTAATCTGAAAAAAAGGCTTAAAACCAGGAACTGGATTGATCGTTTATCATCTCTAGTTTCGAAAATGGTGCCCCCTCTCGTTGAAACTTCAGGCACACAACTCAAGTATCTATCAAAAAAAGATGTTGAAAAATGCGTGGAAAACGGTCAAATGTTGATAATATACGATAAAAAAGTCTACAAGCTCAATAAATGGATAAAATACCATCCAGGCGGCGATCTTGCTATAATGCACATGATTGGAAAAGATGCTACAGACGAAATAAACGCCTTTCATCCCGATTATGTTACCAAGAAAAAAATTCACAGCTTCTATATCGGAGAATATAGTGAAAACGCTTCACATCGATCATTAAAATTCGAAAACGGTTTATCACTTGCCGAGGAACAATTGATATCAAATTCATATAAGCGTTTGGAATCGAAAATCAAAGAACTTGGACTATATGATTGCAATTATTGGTATTATGCTCTTGAAGTATTTAGATACATCTTGTTAATAACTTCCGTCTGGCTATTGATTATCTACGGCACTCATCTATTTCATTATCTTTTGAGTGCCTTTTTACTTGGCGTTTTCTGGCATCAACTTGCATTCACAGCACATGACGCAGGGCATAGTGGGATTACACACAACCTAGTAGTTGATTATCTCATTGGGATTTTTATCGCGGATTTTTGTGGAGGTCTGAGCATAGGATGGTGGAAGAAGAATCATTACGTTCATCATATTGTCACAAATCATCCAGAACATGATCCTGATATTCAGCATTTACCATTCTTTGCAATTACTACCAAACTTTTTAACAATATTTATTCTACATTCTACAAGAGAACTTTAGAATTTGATGTATTTGCTAGAATATTCATCTCTTATCAACATTACTTATATTATCTGGTAATGTGCTTCGGTAGATTTAATCTTTACGCATTATCCGTAGGATTCTTATTTAATGAAAAGAACGTTGCATTTCGTAATTTAGAAAAAGGTGGAATGGTTTTCTTTTGGTGTTGGTATATTTATATGCTTTCTTATCTCCCTTCATTACCGATTATAATTTCTTACATCTTGATTTCACATATGGTAACGATGCCACTCCATGTACAAATTACACTTTCTCATTTTGGGATGTCAACGGAAGAATTGGGGCCGATAGAATCATTCCCGAGGAAAATGCTTCGCACCACGATGGATGTTGATTGCCCGTGGTGGATGGATTGGTTCCACGGAGGATTACAATATCAGGCGATACATCATTTATTTCCAAGAATACCAAGACACAATTTAAGAACATGCCAACCACTAGTCAAGGAATTCTGTAAAGAAGTTGGTTTGAAATACCACTTATACGGGTTTATTAAGGGTAACGGAATTGTGTTAGGTGTGCTTAGGGATGTATCCAATCAGCTCAAATTATTAGGCGAAGTAGCTAAATCTCATGCTGATAGACACTTTCCAGAGGTATCGAGTGCTCCGAGAAACATTCAAAGTGAAAAAAACAAAGATTAGTGTAATTTTTGTCTTAATTAATATTTACACATGTGAAAAATAAACAATGATAATTTAAAATAATCAATTTTATCTGATTCTCATTACTGTAAAAATAGCGTAGATGTGATTTTCGTTGATCATTTTTTCCTTTATCTGTCTAATAAATATTCGCAGCTCACCTGCCATAATTATCCGACCGCATGAAGATCGTTATTCAAAGAATCGTCAGGTAAAAAAAATATCTTTATTTTTTTTAAAAAAGGTGGTAAACACCACTTCTTTATTTATTTGTATATACAATGTATACATTCTGAAAGAAACATGCAATTGCAGTAAACTTAATATTAGCTTGCCTACAGTTAATCCTCTAACTGATATTAAAAATTTTTAAACAATACAAATCGTTAAATAAATTAAATAAGAATAAAAAAATATAGTAATTATACTTAAGTCTCGTATGAATAAAAATAGCGTCTACAAAAGAATTTTCTGTTTATTGCTTTTTATTCTCCTGATTTCTTACAACTTATTGATGAAATATTTATTGGAAAAGTACTTAAATATAGTTAATACAAACAGTTATCAAATAAAAAAATAGAAAAAAAAACTATAGTATTTATATTATAAACTTTAAATAAAGAAAAATATTAAAAACTTTTTATTCTCTTGATTTTTTACTATGTGATATTAACATATTTATTAATAAAAATACTTGAACATTATTGATATAAATAATAATTAATGAATATTATAATTATAATTGTAATTAATAAAATTATTAATATTTTTGTTACAAAACAAATAATTGGTATAATATTTTTCATTTATTAAAAGCAAATAAAACAAAAATATTAATATCCGTTTGGCCAATAACTCTAAAAATAAATTTAATTTTTCAAATAGAATTAAATCTTTTTTTAATTAATTTAATATAATTGTGATTTTTTCAATTATAGTTTTAATCAATCTTTATTTACTCTAATTTTTTATTATTTAATTTTAAGTAAAATTAATATTTGACTTATTATATTTGTATATACAGTATGGGACAAAAATAATGGCACTTTTTATTTTTGTTATTATTTAATAAATATTTATTTAAATTAAAT